AATGTAATTCCATAGTCTGCCCTTTTGAGCTGCCATTTCCACCAGGATAACTGATCTCTGTGGTTTCGAGTTCAGTTGTAATTCAAGGAGAGCTCCAGGCCCCACCTGGAGATTGGCAACCCAGCTGGACCTCAATATTATTTGAGCTGAAGTCACCTGAAAATGGGTTCTTGCAAGCCTTTAATTTTAATGTCTGCTCTGTTCAATTACTATAGTCTCAACATTCTAGCTGACGTAAAGGCCAAAAGTTGGCATTTGGCCTGTTATTGGTTCCTCTTTGCTATATTTAAGATCCATTTCCCCAATTTCAATATGAACTAATTTACTGTCCTTTCTGATTTTAAAATGCTGTCCTGGAAGATAATTTTAGCCTCCCTAACGGAGTTTACCTGCACAACCTTAAACAGGGCTTTCATGCTTTAAGGAGATTGGGACAGTGTGGCTACATATTTTGACTTAGATGTAAAGCAAACAGTTTCCTGGCTAAGCAGTGATTTTAACCTATCTTTGCATGATGGTGGGCAACTCCTTCCTTCTCAGCGTAGCCTTCTCCAAAGGGTTGCTGTGAGAACCAAATGGGATAATGCCATACATGACCTTCTCTGAGCTACTTCAAAGGTACTAAGATGATAAATAAAATGGAATTTCCCTATTCTTATGAAAAACAGAAAAACTCTGTTTTCTATGTAGGAGTCTGTTACCACTGGAAGGAAAAGAGACCCAGGCCCCGGTCACATGGAGGATTTGCCGCGGGAGAGGCACAAATGTCGGGCGGAGTATACGGGCGTGATCATAAGGACACATCTGGCAAGCGTAGCACAGCCATTGCCGACCCGTAGCATCCGCCCGAAGATCTGGAGTTAAAAAATACCCGGGAAAGCCTACAAGCAAACGGTTTGCTACGGGCCATCGATGGAATACCTACGTGTGATCGCTCAAGCATGCTTCTCTCGCCGTGTTGACGTGTGCCGGAAACACGCACCGACAAACAAAACCCCAATTTGCTGCTGCCACGTCTGATCGTGTTCTGGCACGTTAAATTGCGTCAGTGTGAAAAGCCACACCTCCCCCCCCCCCGCGTTATCTGGCCCGTATGACCGGGGCCTCAGCTCAGTATAGAGTAGACCCTGTTTTGCATGCAGAAATCCTCAGATTAATAGAGCAATACTACCCATAGTTACTCCATCCAATTGATTTCACTGGATTTAGACTGGAGTAACTCTGCCTAGGACTGCACATTTAGACTCTGAAAACTCCAGCCAGAAGAGATGGAAAAGGTCTCTCTTTAAGACCTCCCAAGAGAGCCAGTCAGTGGCCCTGTTTGGGCCAATGGTCTGACTCAGCTGACAAGGCAGCTTTATCTGTATATTCTTTCCACCTATGAAAAGAAAGTAACAGCAACATTCAGGGCTTTGGGAAGAACATTTTATTGCTAAGCATATCCTTGAACGAAAAGGCATTTATGAAAATAAAAGAACAGGGGAGGGGGGAAAAATGAAAGAAAGGGGCGGAGGGAATAAAAAAGCAATAACGACACATTAATGCTAAAGAAAATCTTCAAGGTTCTGTCCATAAAACAACAGGGATATGGTAGAAGCCCACATACAGAAATGCACATCTTCCCAAAAAACTGTCCAATAGAAACAGACGCCAAAAACAAATTAAAAAAGGAACAGAAAGATGGTTTTTTTCTAAATAAAAAAGGTAAAGAAAGAAAGCAGAAAATCATTTCACAAGACTCCAAGACTCCAAGAACAGCAGCAATCTTTTACATACATCGAGATATAATCAACTCCGTATATGTTCAGCCAGTTAGGTTGTCTAAAATCGTGCTTTCAGACCTTTTTAAAAACCTGTCTTTATTTTATTTTCCCCATTGTAGTGTAAAAAATAATTACAAATTAAAAAAAAACCCTCACACACACTGAAAAGATTCGTTCGCCAGGAAAGCCTCTCCTCAAACCATCTGAGAAGGCTACCTTTGCTTTTATTTTGTTCCCATGTGCGTGTGTGCATTGGATAACACTTCTTCAAAGTCAAAGATTCATGCGACTTATAAACACCAGCAAGAGTAGATTTCTAAACCTAAACAGCTGATTAGATTTCACCTGTACATAGAAAATTGTACATTTCTAATATGCCAGAGTCCTCTAAACAATCTGCGTGTTTTTTTTCGGTCTGTCTCTCTTTTTTCTTTTTTCAATTTTTGCACATGATATTTGTGGCCAAAGAAAACCCCCTGTTGGATGTTTTTCCTGTACAATAAGTTGCTCTCTTTCAAATAATAGAAGATTTTTAAAAAACCAATAATCAAGATTAAGTACATTGAATAGAATCAACAACCTAATGAAACCTCAGAGCATTATGTACAACAGTGTACCCATCTAGAAATTACACCAGCCAAAAAAAAATTGTAGTAAAATATGTAAACAAAATCTTTTTTTCCTTAAAATCTTTTTGACACAGATAACTGTGACAAAGTTTAAATGCACACTCTCTTCACATTTTCAAAGTTTAGCTTTTTGTTGTTTTGTAAAAACATTTTTTCTTTACAACATTCTCAATTCATATTAAGACTTTAACAGCATTTCTGTTCCAGTCGTCCCATCAAACATACCATGATAAATATATCTGTGTATATATATATATATTTATATATATTATACTATTAATAAGCTCCTTTAATTTATTTTATTTCTGTATGTCGTAGCGACTTTTTAGATTTATCTTCTTTCATATAAAAAGAGAAGGGAAAAGGAGACTAGGGCAAAATGTAAGGACAGCGAATCAGAAATGTCAATCTACAAAATTAAATCGTTACATATGAAACATACCTTCATGATTTAAAAAAAACAAACACACCCCTATTTTTTTACTCCTCTATGACATGTTTTTGGCTTGTGTGACATTGTGTCACAAATTGAACTCAGTATTAACACTTTATTAATTTGATTATCAATAAATCTTTTGCATTCATGCACTGCAGTCAGCCAAGGAGCCAAAACCCAGAGAATGGCTCCTTTAATTTTTTTTCTTGCTTTGTCTATTCAGTTCAGAATGGCTAAGTAATTTTGTTTGTCTGTTTGGGTCTAAGTCCACTTTTTATAGCTTAGCTGTGCTACTATATACTAAATAGTAGTCAAATACAACCAGGGGTCCCTTCCCCCTGTCAAAGAAGAACCAATATTATCTCTTTATGACTTCAGTTAGAATACTGGAGCCAGATCCTGGGGGGGGGGGTGTCCAATGTTTTCGTTGTCATTTTCAGCACCACCACCACTCCATCACATTTTTATAAAGAAAAAGTTACGTTAACAACTTACTGCAGACAACAGATTCAAGAGACAACACAACCTGATATGTAGAGCGAACACCATGGGTAGAACTTGAGTTCATATATATGGCAACAGTCTCTATTACTAAAATTTCCCCCCACATTTCTTCTTGAATTATGTCCTGGCTCATTCTCCCCGAAAAAGCTCACAGAAAATGAAAAAAAAAACTGAGACAAAAAGATAATGAAAACCCCAAACCATTTATTTTGCTTTCCCCCTCACATCTTGAAAAATGTTACGAAGGCTGGACATGGCCAGATCAGTTGTTCTGCTTTTGTTTTATAACATTGCATTTTTTTTCTTTTTCTTTTTTGTTATTTTTTAAAATAATTAAACTGAAAAAAAATAGCGTACAGTCAAAGATCATGAACATCATTAAAGACTCACTTGGAGATACGAAACAAGTAAGCCATGGAGTCTTCTGCGTTTGCAGAAAAGTTCAGCTGAGGAGGAGGTCTGAAGGCTTTAAAGTCCGCCAACATGGTGATGCTGCATACACCTTCTTCAGAACACTAAGTGTGCTTTATAATACAGTAGGGCAGAGTTTGGGGACTCCAAGCGATGACTGAAAGCTTAGTAGTCACAGCTGAAATGTTTATTCTCAATATTTTTTTAACCACAAACTGTAGCTCCCAATCTCGTTAGCTGTAACAGTTTTGATTCAGTTATATCTCATTAAGTATTTATATATTTATATATATAAATAAGAAAACTTTTTACACGTAATATTCTTTGTCCTTGTTTTTCTGTTTCTTGTGGCCGCTCTTTGTGCTCTGCTGCTTCTCCTTCATGAGCGTGCCGTTGCTCTGGGCTGAGTTGCTGATGTAGTTCCGCGTCTCATCCACCTGATAGGACCCCTCGTCCCTGTTCCTGTACTTGTACATGGCGTACAGGAGGATCAGGATGCAGAGGGCGGCAGCAGCCACAATGCCGACGACCATCCCCGTTGTGCTGCTCGACTCACGGACCACCTCTGAGGCCCCCGGAACCCGTCTGATTCCTGGCTCCGTGGGGTTTGCTGTGGGCACATTACGGAACATGGGGGAAGTTATTAGCGGGCTCTTCAGTTTTGTGCTGTCTAGCTCAAAGGCAGTGGGCAACGGAAGCAAGACTATGTCAGGCTGGGGTTTGAGGTCACGGTTATTCATGTTGCCGGCTGGCAATTTGGGCACCATCCCAGTCGAGGACGAAGCTGTGGAGCGGATCAGCTCAGGGGACAAAGATGTGGTAGTAGTCCTACCAGTTTCGGAGGCTTTGTTAGGTCTAAAGTCCTTGGATTCCCACTTGGGTGCATGTGCTTTGTAGCCACCTTCGAAGATTGAAGTGGAAAGACTCTTATCTGTTACCAAGGAGAAGGTGGTGTAAAAATCTTCATCATCAGTAGGGGGTAGGTTAGAGTCAAAGGTTTCCCCTGAGCCATACCCAGATATCACCAAGCCATCATCATCACAACCATCGCTGCCTTGGTCCGACAAGCAAGGTAACCCCGCCTCAGAGGTCATGGACAGGGAATCTTTGGTGGTCTCAATAATGGTGAGGAGGGGGCGGAAGGTAGTGGGGAGTGTAATGAAAGGTGCACGAGTAGCAATAGAAGGGATATCTAAAGGGTCTTCTACAAGAAGAGGGATAACTAATTCACCTCCTGGACAGAAAAGAAAAAAATAATATTAGTACCTTGATTATATCTATATCGGATGTTAAATTCACCATATCAAATGCAAAAGCAGCATTTCTGCCCTTAATTATTCCAGTGGACCCATCTTTCTGGGCCCTCTGTAGCCTTCCCACCCACCTTTGCTTTGGTGCAGGAGAGGCCAGATCCACCCTCTTTTGTTAAATGTGTTTTGGTCCATATAATTTGGTTTCTGAAGATACTCTCAATGTTTCTGTTTAATGAAATATTTTGAACATTTGGTGAAATGCATGTTTATAATGGTGACATTTAGTCAGACTGAGGTTTGCTTTGTAAGGGAACAGCCCAGGCCTCTGTGCTGTGATGTTTTCTTCAGCTATGATTTTTCCCCTTAAAGACATGTTGCATAGTATCTTCAAATGGAGCAGAGCAGAAACAGATCAGAAAAAATCTAATTCTGTAATGTGCTACTCCCAAGTAAAGAGGGAGTTTACTTCAGTATGAAATGAATGTTGCATTGGTTTAAGATGTTAAGAAAAGTGTGTTAATAGAGGATTCATATGATAGTCTGTTCATAGTTGTCTTATGCATTCAAGCTATATTGGAAGAAAGGAGGTGTATTTAATGGACTGTACTCAAACGCTGGAGGTAGGGAAGGTAGTATGATATAGCCTGATATCATCAGCTCTTGTAAGCCAAGTAGGGTCGTACAAGTAGTACTTGTATAGGAGACCACCAGGAAAGACTCTGCAGAGGAAGGCAATGGCAAGCCACATCTGCTTCACCTTCCATAGAACCCCCCCTTGCAACCAGTGCTTCCTCTAAGCTGAATTAGTGTGTGCTAGCTCACAGTTTCTTAGCCTCCAGCTCACACATTTTTGTCATACTCAGGAAGGAAGGCTCCAGAGCAAATTAATTTAGGCAGTAACCAAATCACCTGCTCACAACTTTCATGCCAGTAGCTCATAAAGTAGAATTTTTGCTCACAAGACTCCACAGCTTAAAGGAGCATTGCCAGTGACCCCCTATTCTACTCCCAGAAGAGGACAAAAAACCTCCAGGATCTCCACCCAAACTGGCCTGGAGAAAAATTGCCTCCTGACTCCAAAGTGGTGATCAACTTGATGGCACTTACTCAAATGTTTTCAAATGGGGAACTGGGTATTGAATTTGGAAATGTGCCCGTTTATTTGCTGTAGGCCCTAAACCGAATGAGAAGCAACTTGTATTTGGAAATGTGCTCTAGGCCCTAAACCGAATGAGAAGCAACTTTCTGATATTGCTGGTATGTGTGGCATCCATGTGAAGCTGAATTTGTGTTTGCTTCATACACACATTGGATAACTATGAAAATTTAGTGCATGACCACAAAACACAGGCACATTTGTTCAGAGAATATATAGGGAATGTCTGGGACTGGAGTTTCTGGCTTATTGAATTATAATGATTTTATTCTTTCTGAGCAGTGAGACAACACTTGGGAAACGCCCAAGCTTTCCCTCCAAGAATAATCTTAAAGGGCTCAACAAGAACAAAGCCAATACTAACTGAGGATGGGAGGGTTCAAACGAGCTTCCTTCATCTTCCACAACCAACAGACCCATAATTCTTTTCTTTTTGGATTTATTTCTGTCCACACTTTCATTATGGCTGTCCAGTCTTCCTAGAATGTGTTTCGGACAATTCGTATTCATGTTACTCTCTCAAAATGGAACTGAGCCATAGTTTTAGGGGAGGAAATTGGAGAAGAGAGGTGGTACAGCATATAAATCAGAAAATGTTAATATGAAATCACACTACCTTTTCAATGGGGAATTCATATTCTTGAACATCAGTCAAGATTTGTCAAGAGTGTTGATAGTGTTTCTTTGTGCTACTAATATCAGTGCAGTCACCATTATATAATAGCATTCATCTGCAAATCTACCATGCCATCTGTGACACACAACTGGAGTCATAAGTTCGTCAATTTTTAATTGCGCATCTGAAGTGCCTTGATTGTTAAAATCTCCTTTGCCTATACATGGATTTGATGTGCAGCTGATCAGCCTATCCAAGGCTTGTACAAAAGGCAACTTTCCTTTTCTACAAAAATAATCTTAGTTATTTTACTCTCATCTACTTGGTTGTTGTTGTTCCTTCTTGATTGCAAGAACAGTGAAAGCTTCTGTTCTAAAAAGCAATACTTTCATTGTAAGAACTATTGTATTTAAGCATGATTCAATGGTTATTTTCCTTTTACCTTGAAATTGTTTGCAGCCAGAAAAATGGAAAGAAGGTGCACCGGAATATAAGGGCCCCCCTTGCCTTTAGAAATGCCTTTATAACAGCAGTACTAATACAGTTGCACCTTTATAAGCCCACTGACTTCAATGGACTTATCAAGGTGTAACTGCTTAGGACTGCATTGTATAAAAGCAATCTCAGAAGGTATTTTTAAAATATTGGTTTTAATCTAATAGGGAATAATAATATATTTAAGCAAGACCTCACACAGGACTCTTATTAACAGGCAGACCATGTGCTGTTGGCAAGAATGGCAGGGAACATTTGTACATATCACCAGAGTTATGTGGAATAGATGAAGAGGAAGAAACAACAACCACGTTCCACTAACATGGGTGGTTGTTAGGCAGACCATGTAACAAAGCCTTTCTGAATGACAGAGATCTTGTAGGTGGAGAAGCCAAGAAGTCATCCCTAAGAGAAACATACCAGGAGAAATATACATATTTTGAGCAAACATCCAAAGACAATTTCAACATATGCACATGGGTGGTTTGACCCATTCCACTTTCCACTATATCTCCTCATGTTCCATCGGAAGGATGGCTGGATCTCTGACTTCTGAGAGCTGCGCTAGGAAGAGAAGCCTCTTAGGGTTGCCAGCTCAAGGTTGGGAATTTCCTGGAGATCTGGGGACAGAGCCTGGTGAAGGTGGAGTCTGAGGAGGGGAGGGAACTCAGCAGGGGTGAGATGTGACAGAGTCTACCCTTCAAAGCTGCCATTTTCTCCAGGGGAACTGATATATGTAGTCTGGAATTCAGTTGTAATGCCAGGAGAAGTCCAGGTCCACCTGGACATTGGCAACCTTAGAGGACCTGTTGCAGAGCAAGCGGAAAAACTCATTGCTTTGAATCGGGACCCATGGTTCAGCACTGACATAGATGGTTAAGAATTTTCTTTGTGTTTCATTTGACATCAAATGAGGGAAAATGTCAGACTCACTCATGTCAACAAAGTGCACTGCCTTCCCTAACAGATCCAGTTCTCTCCACTCTGCTCTGTCAGTCTTCTTAATGCTCATTTATTCAGAGTATGAACAGCAGCATCTGGATGGACGTAAGAAAAACTGGTAGGAGAGGTCGAGAGAATCAAATGCAAAGGACCAGGCTGTGACGCAAGTGCCACCACAACTGGAGACTTGGGTGGTGAAACTACTGCTTGTGAATTTAGCTCCAGGCCTCTTATAACATTCAGAAGTCTACTGCATGTTTTATTATGGTTCCTGGTTGGTTAGCATAATCTGGGACAGCTCCAGGCCAGGTTTTATTTATGGCTTTTTATAGGTGGGATCAATGCAAGGCTTTCTTCTCCCTTCTTTGTTTCATAATGTTTGTTCTGAAGAAAGTTTACCTAAGAAGACCCCCAGTATAGTGCTGAGCGACAGGATCTTACACTTCTGTGTGGTAAAAGAGTTTTTGCCCTGATTTGGCAGCAGTGGAGAGGGGGATATTTCCACTCCTATTATGGACTCTTCCCCACAGGAACCAGATAAGTCAAGGCCAAGATATGGTTGTCAGAAATTATGATAATTGGATATGACAGGGGTTTTGTTAAAGTGTGGGAGTGCAAGTGTTACATGTGAAGCATCAGCTCATGCAGAAGTCCATGGTCTGCCTAACAACCACCCATGTTAGTGGAATGGTGGTTGATGCTTCTTCCTCTTCATCTATTCCAGATAACTCTGGTAACGTGTAAAAATAACTGACCTAGCCACATTAGGGTTGCCAGGTCTGGGATGGAAAATACCTGGAGACTTTGGGGGTGGATCCAGGGGAGGGTGGAGTTTGGGGAGGGGAGGGGCCTCAGCATGGTACAATGCCAATAGAGTCCACCCTTCAAAGCAGCCATTTTCTCCAGGGGAGCTGATCTCTGTCAGCTGGAGATCACTTGTAAAAGTGGGAGATCTCCAGGCCTCACCTGGAGGCTGGCAGCCCTAAGCCACATGGATGGAACTGAGCACAGTATTATAGGAACAATCACACTGCTCAGGTGATGTGTAAAGCAGATATTAAACATTTCATACCTGAAGTGAACAAGCAAAAATAGTATCCTGGCCTCCTAATTTATTCACAACCCAGAAAAGGAGGAAAGAACTAAGAGAATGGCTTCTTGGGTCTCCTGCCAGGAGCAATTGCTGCATTTCACTTCACAGTAGGGTTAACACTCACATGGTGGTCAGACAGCAAGGATCTGCATGGCCATCCCAGAGAGTTTTGGATGAAAGCCACTCTTATCTATTTAATTAATTCCTGTTGAGGCAAATGGAGATAAAAGTGTTTATACATGAGTGTTCGAGGAAGGAGTTAAGGAAAGGGTGTGTGTGTGTGTGTGTGTGTGTGTGTAGAGAATGAGCTGAGAATTCAGAATATGTTTTAATATCCTTCAGAAGACAACCTTTCCAGGTTTTGTTCTAACTATAATCTTAAATCTAACCCATTCCCTTTCGTTGTGTGGTTTGTACTCCCAGCAGAAGGTCACACATTTATTGAAATGATTTGTGCTGACAACAGAGTGCTTCAGGATGAAATAGAAAGGAGCAGTTAAAATGGCTTCTTCTGCTGCATTAGTGATGCCGAATCAGCTTCTATTTGGCCAGATAAAAAATGCAACAGATATAATGAACAATCAGTTTGGAGCGGATTGAGGTCTGCCTGGTGGAAAACAATAGTCCAGGAAAACAAAAATGCCCAAGGTCTGCTGTGGGGTTTCTTTTTTCCACCCTT